GGGGGGGGGGGAGGGGGGTTGAGAGGCCGATTAGGGCGGACGCAGGCGTCCAGGTGGACGGGCCGCTGACAAAAACGGGGATGCATTTGCTCGGTAACGACATTTCCATGCAATCTCAGACCGCACGCGCGCGGACGCGCGTTGTTTTATTCCCGCAGGTTCCATCCTTCAACGGATCTTCTTACCTACGTTATCCGGGATTGGCGGACACGTCGCTGTCGTGGCTGGAATTGTCCGTCACGTTAAAACCGACCGCCCAGGACGGCGTAATACTCTACAACGGCCATCACAGCGACGCCACCGGTGACTTTATTGCGCTCTATCTCTCCTCGGGCCACGTGCAGTTCACCTTCGACCTCGGAACAGGACCTGCCACTTTGAGGTAAGCCGATGGCCCTCGACGAACTTCGCTAGCTGTCTCTCTCTCTCTCTCTCTCTCTCTCTCTATCTATCTATCTATCGCTCTTTCGTTCTCGTCTTCTCTTTCTTTCTCGCTCTCTCCTTGCCTCGCTCTCTCAGTCTTCCTCTTTCTCACCCTCTCCGTCGCGAGCGGAACGCGGTGTGTCTCGAGGTGTGACGCAATCCCACCCTCGGGCTGTTCGTTTCGCGATAGACGGGGTTCCTCGTCGCGATGAGACACGGAACAAAACGGAACGGTGCGCCGGCGAGCGGGCGCTAATTGCATCGTTTGCGTATACACCGTCGAACAATTCGCGTTAATTAAGCGAGCCGGCGCGTCGGTGCCGCGCGGAACGCCCGGTGCTTTTTCGCGTTGACGTGGCGTGACGGTGACGGTGACGTCGCGTCGCGAGGAACGGAAGAGAGTCGACGCGCGGCAAAACGACCGGATTGTCCGGGACGGCTGCTCCGGTTCGCGGATACGATTAATCGACGACGCGGAAAACGATCGTGATCGAGTAAAGATGATCGGTAAATCCGGCCGGATGTAGTCTCGGATGCGCTGCGCGCGTTCCCGGTGGAACGTGATACCGCATAACAGGCGACGCTGATATTTTGCGAAAAACGAGACGTTAATGAGCGCGCTAAAATGCCGGTCCGATTGCACGCTCGAGTCGATGTAATTCTTCTCGCGATAATCAACGACGGTCGAGATGATTACTGTCCCGTAAAATCCATTCCTCTGTCGAGAGAAGTGCTGTAAATACGCAAATGCGGATGATGAGCGCGATGATTACAATCGGGCTCGAATCTTTCGACAATTGTAATTAAGAGCCCGACTGGGAGGGGATTCGTCGATATGCTCTCGGAGTATGTCTTCGTTGGTAGAGAAATTTATCTTTGCAAATACATAGAACAATAAATGTTGGAATCGAGTAAACGTAATTACCTGTTTTACAGCTTCTTAAATCATGTAATATTTTCATCAATTTAAGTATATTCAGTAGCTTGCAGTAGATACTTACACGAGGTACGTGGTAAGACCTTAACTCGCAAGTGGGCGCGTAACTTTTTGAAGGATAAAACAACTGCTATTTATAGCTGAAGTTCTCGAGTGTTATTGTCGCTACCTCGCCGAATCCAAGAGTAAGCGGTAGAAGCAAATTGCTGAAAGCGCCGACGTCGCGTGCAAAAACAAATCGGAGAAGCATTCGTTTGTTCATGCGTCCGCGGGTCAGTTTAACTCCCATACTTTGAAGATGAAAGTCGCAAGAAAATATCGAGAAAAAGAGAATTCCGAACTGCAATGACGTACAACCTTACAATGTATGAATGTCACAATACACTCTATCAATAAATTTCGTCGTCATAGCACCACCTATAGTTAATTAAGCGGAAAACAGCATCATTCTTTCAACCCGGGCGTCCGCTTTGCCCGAGCTTCCCCTACTTACGGTACGCTTTAACGCCGGGTCCCAAGTTGCAGGTAGTCCGTAATCATTTCGCGGTATTAATTAATCGCGCAGCACGCCAGGCGTATGTATTATTTAAATCGAGTTGTGTTCGGGGATTCCTGAAACGTGTTACGACAGCGAAATATTTCGCATTCGCATCCCGACGACTTGAATATCTGACTACTTCGTATTCCGTTGAATAAAATCTGAATATTGGAATGCTCGGCTGCTACTTTACAATCGAATGAAATTTTAAACAAATCGATAATCCGGCGGGAGGGCAAACATCACGTCGATTTCATGGCGGCACGTGTCTTCGCTATTATACAAACAAAATATATCGTGGGTATATTATAGCGCGCATACAAATACGTAATCATATATCATTGTATTACACCAAATATTTCTCTCGCAAATTTCTCTCCTCTTCCTCATTGAATTTCTAACTCGCGTTTGTTTCGACGAATTCGAGCTCGCTTTTTCCTCCTCCGATTTTCGTTCGTATAATCGCGAATTTCCTATTTTCCACGTTAAATATATCGCGTGTGTTAACGTTTAATAGACACAATCCATTATTTTCCCTAGCTTACGTTATATAATTGCGTATTTAATCAATACGCACAAACATATACGCACACACGAGACATTTTTAACGCGGTACATTCACTAGCTTTTCCGACAACTACATCAAGCGATCATTCGCTTAACGACATTCGGGTACCTTTTATAAATTTAGTCTACCAGGCGGTAAATCTCACGTAAGAATACAACACCCGCCGCACCCTTCGCCGCCGAATAAAAAGCGACCGCCACGAAATTCCTCTCCGACGTAAAAACGCGCATTATTACGCGCGCCATTAAACAGGGATATTTAACCCCCGTGTCTAGAGAAAGAGAGAAAGAGCGAGACTCCCTAAAGTGAGAGAGAGAGAGAGAGAGAGAGGAGAGTAAAAAAAAGCAGTTAACAAGCGAGTCTCGAAGTTCCAAGCGCCCCGTATCTTTTATCGTAACAGCGCCAGGCGGAAAGTCCAATATGAAAATTTCCTACCATCTCTCTCCTTTATTAATTAGCAATTTTCTTCCCGCCTGCAATTCCACTGGTTCCTCTTCATTTCCCCCCGCTATCTAGCTACCTGCCTGCCTGCTCGCCTGCCCGTTCTTTTCTCTCCATTCGACATTAATTATGCGAGAATTTCTTCTGTTGAATCGAGGAAGAGAAGGAGTGTGTGTGTTAGTCGCGGTGTGGCGGCCGCGAGAGCGAATCCATTGTCTACCGAAACCGTTGGCGCGCGGACTTTCCTCGCGAAATTCAAATTGAATGATCCGAGTCTGCGGGAGCGCGTGTAAAGTTTCCCCGCCGCGGTACGTGCGCGAATTTTCATTTCCCGGTCCGAGAGATCGGAGGAAAATTCGGAGAGTTGGCTCGTTCGCTGGCTGGCCGACGGACGGACGGACTGGCGCGGCCTCCCGGGCGTCATTGACGAAATCAAATCGATGGAGCGTCCGTCGATATCGAGTTAACGTCGATTATAATTGTAGACGCGACGAGTGGCGGCCGCGTTAATTGCTTCGCGCGCGCGACGCGAAAGGTGCCGGCGTCGTTTCAATTATCCAAAAGCGCGCTCGCGGGTCTCGACCGGCTTTTTCGGCCCGACGACGTCGACACGCTCGTCGGCCCGTTTGCCTCATTTCGACGCGGAGACACAATCGCCCCGGGACGTGAAAGATTTTCAGACCTTGCTGCGCGCGAGATTCAGCGCGGATTAGGGGCGGCGGGAGAGAAGGGAGGGAGAGAGGTTTCCGTGTAAAAACACATGTGGGGGATACGCGCGTGGAGTATATACCGCAGAATTGAAATACAATCGCGCGAGCGACGACGAGGTGATTGTTCATGAAAAAAAATCAGCGGGAAATACGAGATAAATTTGTTCTCGCGCGAGACTTCATTTCCCGGAAAATTGGATTTTAGAAATTCAGAGAGTTAGCACAAAACAGAGAGAGAGAGAGAGAGAGAGTGCGGTCCTCTCCCGCCGCCTTTCGCAATTTCGGACGCTCCTCGGCGCGCGCGCCTGATCTTACGTCGCACTTCGTTGGCGCGAAAGAAAGAGGTCTCTAATAACAGTCTTTTCCGCAAAACTTCAATTTCTTATTCGGAATCCTCGCGACGAAGATAAGGGAGGATTAAGGATGAAGTACAGGCCGCTCCGGAAGTGGCGAGACCGGCGCGCGGCGGAAGCGAATGGCGATTTCCCTGAGAGGACAAGAGTCGAAAATTTGCGCGAAATTCGCCTGATTCGCGGGAAAATTCGTGCCGGGAATCGGAAAATCTCGCTCGGCGGGGAAGAAGCGCACTGAAACCGATACACGATTCTGTTTGTGGACTCTAAAGCCCTATAATCCGAGGAGATGTATAATTCAGACTTTTCTCGCGTGGTCTCTTTCAGTGGCGGAGAATAAAAATTGGCACAGGATTCAAAGTGTTTTAAAAAGTTCAAAACTCACACACTGTAAAACATTATTGTTCAATAAATTACTTGTCGCTGATTTGTTAGTTTAATTTTCACAAGAAAAAGACGACCGAAACTTCAGCGCAACGAACAGTCAAACGATGTTAATAACACAACTGAATGCGCCAGCAAACAGAAATTGCCACTTTAGCTTCAACCACTGTGCACTGTGTAAACGAAATTCATATTCTGCTCGACAGAGGGTTCAGTAGTTTACAGCCGAGAAACATAGGTATGTCGGTTTACCGATGTCAGTTTTGATGTTTTCCCTCTATCTTCACGCTTTTTTCAAGTCCCGGGCAACTCTCGACCGTCGCCGAAAAACGTTGTTAAACTCATTTCGAGTGTGGTTATCGAGATTCGAATAAAAAAAAGATATAAGAAGTCACGATCGGAGAAGGGAAGGCAGGAGAAAGAAGAGTCAATTAGAGCCAATCTAAAAACCGATCTCCCCGTGGAAGAGCTCTTTGTTCTCTCTGTTCGCTACTACTTCGGGGCTCGCTGTCGCATCCGTATCTACCAATTGGTGAACTTCGCCGTGGAAATTTTCGCGGGATGCCGGGAAATGGCCGGCGGGTCTTTCGGAGATCGACAATTGTTGCATTCCTGAGTGTTTGCTATTTGCATTATCGTTTCAGAAGCGAGAATCCGGTTCGTCTCGGCGAATGGGTCGAAGTTCGGGTCTCTAGGACAGGTCGTTTGGCGTCTCTGGAAGTCGAGGACGGCCCTGCCCAGGAAATCTTGGCGCCCGGAGCGTTCACGCAATTATCCTTACCGCTGAACCTCTATCTGGGCGGCGCGCCTTCGTCCGACATGTACTCGCCGAAGATGAAAACTACGGCCAGCTTCGTCGGCTGCATTCAGACGATCGTGCTGAATAATCGCGAGGTAAGAACACCCCAGGATTATACAGCCTGTGCTCCGAAGTTACGCAGTAGATAATGCAACTGTCGGGATGCCTCTGCCGAGTTTGAGCCTCTCGCTGGCCTGGTAGATAAGACGTTGAATTCCCACTCGGATTACCCGGATTTAAATTCCTATATCTATCACTGCGGGAATTTTATAAACGCGAAATAGAGATAAGAGGCGCGGACGAAGTGAACGTTTATGTAAGAACGTAGCGTGTATACATCGCTAAATGTATACAGCTGAAAAATACACTGAAAAATTGATCTTCGACAGATTGAGATATCGTTTCTAACATTTCACGTCAGAATCTGCAAACACGGGAGATTCTCATAATTCAATGCTCGTTGCTCGGTCTCTTTCTCTCCGTCCTCTCGTTGCTGCAATTTATCGTCGCTATCTCATTCCCGCACTCTCTCTCTCTCTCTCTCTCTCTCTCTCTTTGAAAGATTCATCATTTCAATTTTGGAAATTTCTCGTAATTTATAGGTCGAGAGTGACCTGAATAAAGGTCGCAACTGTATTTGCGGAAACGAAGCTTTGATTTCGCATCTTCTACCTCACATTACCACTCGCCTCGTAGTTCCATCTCGCGTGCGCTTTTGATGCTTTTCTTTTTCGATTCTTACGTTGTTCCGCGGTCGATTCTTCCACCTTAACGAAATATTTCCATCAGAACAAGAATTTATTTTCCTATCGTGCTCCCAACCAAATTTCCCTCGTTCGTTGCTATTCCAATTATTTCAATTTCGTATTATCATCATCATCATCATCATTATTATTATTATTATTATTATTATATTACCATATTATTATTGTTATTATTGTTCTTTCAATTTCTCGAAATAAAATCTCACCGAAAACGAACGAGAATTCCGTCGAAGCGACCATGAAAATATCATCGCTCTGAATCACACAAAAGAGATTGCGTGAGAGAGAGAGGGAGAGAGAGAGAGAGAGAGAGAGAGAGAGAGAGAGAGAGAGAGAGTTTAACTCCCCGTCCTCAAAGTGGGTTCTTAATTCGTACGAGTGAACGTTTCACTCGATTAGAGCGAATTTGTTCCAATTCGAGCATGGAGTACATTAGATTCGCTCTCGAATTCCGTGCGCGAAAATATTCACGGCTCGCGGTAGAATTCAGAGCGTAGAAATTCACTCTGCCTGAATGAAAAGTCACTCGGCCACGAGTGACTCGGCGGCGGTTCCGTCGGCTTTTCGTGTGGAATTTCACTTCGGAGGGGGGGAGGGGGAATTCCATCGGAGTGTGATCGACGATGATCACGCGCGCTTTTTTCGCCGGGCTGCGTAGGTGGGCATCCTGGCCGAGGCATTGGGCGGAGTGAACGTGGGGAACTGCGGGCACGCATGCGAGGCGAGACCCTGCGGCGACGCGGAGTGTCGGCCTCTCCGAGAGCGCTTCACCTGCCGATGCCGTCCGGGCGTACCGCACCCTTGTCCCGCGCCAGATGACTACACGCCTCTGGTCCCGCCGCCGGCCAAGACCAGTGCCCTGACATCCGTGAGATACGAGAGGGCCGTGCCGAGCTTCACCGGCAGCGAGAGCTACCTGCACTACAACGACGCCGACACGATGAAGAGGTGAGCGATAACGACGGACGTCGTAATAGACTCGCGGGAGACCCATATAAATGTACGGTCAGTCACAAAAAGGTCACAACACGTTTTCCCGACGAATTTTGCAACGCATCTCGTATCCAATAGGAAAATGTATCTCCTGAGAATTACTAAAAATAAATTCTTCCATTGGACACGGAAAACGTTCCAAATATATAGAATTTTACCAGCGAGCCGGGACGGGTCGATGAATAACTTTTAAGTTAACGTTTTTTAAAGTAAATTTTTTCACTTTTTTCCGATACAAGTTTAATCGCCGATTGGTTGGTCCAACCTGGGACCGAAATGTATGACGTTAATTTATGTTTGTTCCACATACGCATATAACGTTATAAAAACCAGCGATTGACCTTTATTCGCCTGTCTTGTTGCCCTCAATTATTTTGAAAATAAAACATTTTTCATACGCTACTACAGAAATAATCGTGACACCGAATTTTTCCGTATTTTTTTCTCGTATTTTTCATGTTTTCACGTGCTGATTATAGATTTTTGAGATTATTTGACAATTCTATCTTTAAAGAAGTGTCTAACCGCATCATATTTCGATATGCTGGCAAAATCTGAGAAAATTCGTAAGAAAATTAATTAATTGACGGGCCAACTTTAACTGCTTTAATATTGAATACCGAAATATTGAAAATATTTCCAGCTTCTCTTTTTCAAGACGGCATTAAAATGAAATCCGTGGAATTAAAAGTTTCAGGGAGAAGTTAACAGCTGCACCCTCGTCAAAGTAGATGTTTACTAGACTATAGGTGACCTAAGTAGGCTCACCTACCCTTCGGAGCGTCAAAGTAGCGTTAAAATTTCAACTTCGAGTCGCTCGCGTTTGTCTCTCTATCTCGTCTTATGGGGGACTTTCGCGTGTCTGGAAATTAGACACCGAAGACGGAGGATCACGTCACACGTGATCTCATCGAGATATCTTTCCGAGAACGAATTCATCTTGCGAGTAAATCGGCTCGGAGCGTTGCGTGTTTGAGAATACTCTCATTCTTTCGCGTGTAAGACCGACACGCGGCGTTCTCTCAAAATACGTGCGTGCGTGCACCGATGACCCATTTTCGCGACGTTAACAAAAAAACACCTCCGTCTCCATCGGGCATCCTATTAATACGCGCGCGAAATAATCGGCGGCGCACGTAAAAGTTGGGTAAATGTCAAAGCGGCACGTGCTCAGCCGTGCCGTTTCAAAAGCTCTGAACAACAGCACGTTGCACGCTGCGTTACACAATCGCTCCTTGACCCGCTTTAATCGCGCGTCGAGCTAGTTTATCGAGCGTCGTCGCCGGTCGGTCGGTCGGTCGTCCGGTCGGTCGGTCGGTCGGTCGTTCGTTCGTTCGGTCCCTCTTCGCTCAACGCTCACTCGCCATTAAACGCACTCGTCGGCGCTTGCAGGATAATCAGCTACAGGGTAGACATCAACATGAGATTCCGCGCCAGTAGCAGCAGCGGCCTGCTGCTCTGGAGCGGCCGGCAGTCGGATCCTCAGGAACAAAGGGACGAGAACGATGACTTCCTCGCCCTCGGCCTGGATCACGGCTACCTTACCCTCGCGTACAATTTAGGCTCCGGGGAAGCCGTGCTGCGATACAATATCACACGACTCGACGACGATCTGTGGCATCGTATCAGGGCGGTTAGGTGAGACTCGATTTATTGGAACACACACACACACACACATTCGCACACACGAAAGGAGGTTTATTGACCCTCCCAGGACGGGCTACTTCTCTATTTAATTAACCCTCCCAAGTTGGCTTCTCTCTTATTCGGAAGTGATATCAACGTTTGAGATGAGATTCTTTTATTGTAACAAAGATAAACAAATTGCATCGGAAGATTTTTTATACATATGTCTGGTACAATTACATTAAAAGTTACATTTTCATTATAAATTGGTCTTGTATGTTCCGTCGGAAGAAGAGACACCAATGTGGACGGAGGAAAAAGATTGGATGAATTAATAAATCGGCAATAAACAAGCCAAACGCGTTTTGATTGAAAGAGAAAACAGATTTTCTAATTCTTATGAGCCAGATTTAGTTGCAAGAACCAAAAGTTCTGTTTCTTTCAAACAAAATACGTTTGGTTAATTCATTGTCACGTTAATTCGATCAATCTTTCTTCTCTGTGTGGAACATACGAAAAGTTAAGTGATTTTTTAAATTAAAATAGAAAAATAAGTAAAAACCACAAACATGCAAACAACGGGCAATAAAAAGTCAGAGTTCTTGGGAGGATGTTGGCTCTTATTGTCTGTTTTTTTATATATCTTCTCTATTTAACCTCTTCAGGGATGAATTTAAAATTTTTGATTTATGATCTGCTCTAATGGAATGCATAAAAAACAAAGATACCTTATTTGCGAACCGATTTTGACATGTAGCCATCATGGCCTACTTTGGTAACGTTTAATTTTTAAATAAAACTAAACGTACACACATGTGTCAATATCCCTGAAGAGATTAAATTTTATCGGTAAATAAATGTAAAAAAAAAGAGAAGTGTCACGCGGAGATCTTTGACGCCCGAATCATCGCGATATCTCGGAAAAGACAAAGAAAAATAGAAATATATAGTCCCACGATGGAAAAATGGACCGCTCGCCCGAAGGGGTTGAAAAGGGTCGATGGTGGAGGATGTTGGTCGCGTTCTGCGTTGCGAAAACGGATCGTCGCAATGACTGGCAATCGACTGCTTTCCAGAAACGAACAATGGGCGTCTCTGGTGGTAGATAGCGGTACCGGGGTCTCGGCATCCTCTCCGGGACAACTGAGACAGTTGAACACCGATACCGGCCTCTACGTTGGTAAGTATGCGCTTGAGATCGCGTGCCGATTTACAAAGCGAATGACACCTCACCGTAAGCTCGCGAGTCGATCTGTTCGATCATAAAGAGAAGAAATAAGCGGAGAGGGAAACACGTCGACGACGACGATTAGTTTCGCGCGCGCGAAAACTTCGCCGGCGATAGAGGCTACGTTTGTTTTGGATGCTTTCAGTATGAAAGCGTCATTCTATCTTTATTGCTCATTACTGAAAGAAGATAGAACGATGCTTTCAGCGCGAAAGCGTCCAAAACAAACTTAACCGGGATCTTAGGCTGCGTTCTCTTTGAGCGCTCACGCGCTACTGTAAGCGCGTCATTCTAGCTTTATTGTTCATTACATGCCAAAGGAAGATGGAATGATTGTTATAGCGCGTAAGTGCCCAAAGAGAACGCAGCCTTAAGTATAGGTAGAGAAGCAACGTCGAACACAGGATCGGCTTGATCGGCTGCCCGATCATACGAGCGAGGCACCATTTTTTCTTAGCGATTACGTTTAATAGCGTGTAATATGTCGGTAAATTATACTGTCATAATTGTATAATATTGTTATAACTTGTCGCAACTTAACCTTTCTTACCCATTTCTTCTTTCTCTCTCTCTTCCTTACTCGCTTGCCCTAAACATCGACGTATAATGTTAAATATATAAGCTGAACGGAGCATATGTGCGGTAGGATTTCCTTAATATTCGTGTTGACGAGCCTAGGAAGAGGGAAGTAAATGTTTGCACACACATTTGGAATCTCACTTTCTACTATTTTTTTATTGGTTGAATCTTGTTTGACGAGAAGAGGGCGAAATTAAAATTACACACGTAATAAATAATTACTAAATATGGTTTCCACTTTATTTATGCAACGTTTATTATACAATAGAAATATTCCAAATTTTTAAGAGCCTCACGTGGCCCCGGGCTGTATGAGTCGCTACCACCCACATATCTTCTTGTTTTTTTCTATGTCTGTCAACACGACTTCGATTCCATGCTTTGTTCAGCACGCTGAATTCTATACTGAATGGTTGATGCTTTAGGAAAAAACGGGCGAAGTAAGAGCTAAAAAAGAAGATATTATCTATCTATATCTTTTCTAATGTCTAATTATTCCAGTTGGAAATATCCACACATTCGAAGTATCACATTCGTATACTGAAAGAAATTTCCATCGGATAAACCGATTAATTCATGCATTCGATTATTATATTTATTTTCTAATCAAGTGATGGATCTCATTGTCCGATCAAGTATCCGATGCAGTTACCGATGATAGTCGGAAAATTAGTCGCCCTTTGTATGTCTGTTGTAATTTTCATCGGGTAAAGGCACGGCTTAATTTGATGAAATGACGAAATGATCGGCAATTTGACCAGATACATCCGTTTGTTACTTTTTAATTGGATTATCCGATCAGATATGGTCGGGTATTTTTTTCAGCGCAACTTCCGCAATCTCCATAATTGCCTAAAATTATAATATTATTGAAAATGAACAGGATAAACGAAAAAATAGTAAAATGCCATAAAAATGGTAAAAATCATGAACAACTTGGTTCAAACCATCTTTCATAAATAAATTAGTATATTCGAATGCTCGTAGAAAAGATCATGGAAAATCGTCGACCAATCAGAAATCACCGGACAGAGAAGGAAGTAATACTTACGCTATCTATCCTTTATCTCGGCGTACTCCAACTTATTTCTTTCTCAAGATGGTACCTAACATTCTCCAGTATAATATAGAGTTCAAAGGTCCAGTGCTATATGTCGATGGCTCCAAGTGCTACCACAGAAAAAAGATGGCCGACGTTTCGATATATCAAATTAAGCTTTTCCATTTATATCTGGAACTCTAGCCGGCGGTACCGAGCGAAAAGTATTGCGCGCGACACAAGCGTCCAGGAGGAACACATCCGGCGAGACGTCTTTTAAAACGGAAATCCGACCCACTCTTTCTCTTCCTTTTCTCTCTGTCGCAGGCGGCGCGCCGGACATCGTGAGGACAACGGGCGGTAGATACGCCAAGGGCATCGTAGGTTGCATCAGTGACCTCGTGCTGGACTCGGACTTCTCCGTCGCCCTATCGTCGCCCGCCCAAGCAACCAACACGCATTCGTGCATCCCCTGAAAGAGAGATACTCGTGCCGTCCGACGTCAGATGGTGTCGGGCCCTGCCCGAAGCTAGGAATATGAAAATTTAAGGAAATCACACTCGTGAACACACACACACACAAACACACACACATACACACACACAAACAAACAAACAAACAAAACAGACACTCACACGAGAGACGTTACACGTACACAGATATACATAAAAATAAGCAGGAAAGAAAAAAAAAGGAAGAGAAAACGGAACAACAACACACTCACTCCATACACGAGAAGCTGGCGAAGCCGAGCGGCGGCGCCCCCGCGGGAGGGGGAGTGCCGCCCCTTACTACACGAAAGTGCATCTGTCTCTCGCGCATCCGCGCGCGGTTCATCATTTTTGTACAGACTCGTCCTTCCACGGTGGGGACTCTCGGAGCGAAGGGAGATCGAGTAGGTCGGCGACCGACCGACCATCGTCGAGAGCGCGGCCATCGCGAGCGGTGGTAGGCGGCTTTACTCTGTAAATATTAATAGGGCGATCCTCTCCCCCATCCTCTGACCTTCTTCCTCCTCCTCCTCCTCCTCCTCTTCCTCTTCCTCTTCTTCCTCTTCCCGCCGACCCGAGGTACGCGACGATGCAATATCTAGCGCTCGCCTCATCGCGGCATTGATCCTCGGCGCTGCGACTTCCGGTCGATCCTCGCGGGCCGATCCGCCCGGCCGGGAACACGAAGTTCCTCCTCGGTGGCGCCGCGAGAAGTCGTCGTCGCGAGCATGCCTAACTGAGGTCATCGCGCACGAGATCATCGAGCAACGCGATGAAGCCCGAGCAAAATTACGACGCGCTTCTCGCGAGACTCGTTTCTTCGCGAGCGAGCGAGCACCGCCGCGTCCGTTCCCTTCCGGGAAAGAAGAATCGGTGAGTTCCGATTCGCCGGTAGTTTCCGACTTATCCTCCACCGATCGGACCACCCCGGTCATGTCGGAAGCGTCGTTAGACGGTCCACGAGACGAGCGTGGAGCGTGTGAAGAAATATACGCTGAGAGGAATTATTTTTCCGGCCTCAACTATACCCTTTTTATGCGCAGGAAGGGAAGTTAAGTTCAAGTAAATTACTTCAATACTCTCCGGCGAATTTCACTTGGATCAAGTAAATATATATATATTCGATTCAAGTAAAATCTGCACTCTAGCACTTTTTTTCCGTGTGGTTTCAACACGTGCGAAAATATTAGTAGCAACGTGCATTGCGAGTTTATTATCACAGGCACTATGGTAACACTCACTGAGAAAAAATGGGTTCTCCCGAACCTATCATTCTTTCACCACCATGATTATAGTTGGAGATATCAAATATTCTCACGGGGGTGTGGAGGTTCGTTCGTCCACCAAGGAAAATATTAAAAAATTCATTCACGGTGTCATACGGTTTATTACACACATACACACGGAAATAAATTTTATTTCTGCGAAAAAACAAACCTTATTGTATCCCCCGGAAATGAATTTTTCAGTTCTTTTTTCTTCGGTGCTCGATCGAATTCGCCGATCCGGAATGAAAGATTAGCGCGACTAACGCGGCGCGCGCGATGCCCGCGAAAATTGCGCGGACGACGGTGAAATCAGCAGCACGGCGCGCGCGCGTTAGTTCCGGCTCCGTGCGGCGGACTCGAGACTGATCGGGCGAGAATGAAGATTCGTCGCGGCCGGGTGAAGTAATGGCTGGTCGCGTTAAATTGCGATCCTTCGCCCTGCTGCTTTTTCGCCCGAGTTGCCGCGGCAGTTCGGGCGCTCCTCGGATGAAAATCACCGGCGATTATTGCGCTCTCGGAAGTCGGGAAAAGTGTGTGCCTGGGACGTGTCGTATCAAGTTCGGAACTTTGTAACGTCCATAATCAAAACCACCGCCGTACCATTACAAATTTCAACTTTGCCCATATCCGGATATTAATAGTCGCCCCCTCCCACCCCGCGGAAACAGCGGCGTAATGAAATTCGCAGGAACTAGATTATTGTTCGTAACGAAATTCATCGTAATAACAACGTCGTTTATTTTGCAACGACGACGACGACGACGATGGCGGGGCGGCGAAGCCAATAACGCGCGGCTGTGAATGGGTAAAGGGCAGTGCGTGAGTCGGTTTAACGCGCCGTCGCGTCTAGAATTCCGCTAAAAACTGAGTAAACAACGCTTCAATTACGCTAAATAATAATGAGAAAGAGAGGGAGAGGAAACAAACGGACGGCTCCCACCATGAGTGTGCGATTCGCGAAATAACGGAAGTCGTTGCACCAGGATACAATGCCCGGCCGGATATAAAATTTGACGGAGCGCGTCTCGAAGACGGCTTTCGGCCTAATAAGATAAAAGTATGTAGAAATGAGAGAGAGAGAGAGAGAAAGCGAACGAAAGAGAGAGAGAGAGAGAGTTAGAGAAAAAAAGAGCAACCCCTCCGCGTCAATTTTGATTATTCCCTCCGACCGGATGTTACCTTCGACACGGGGTGTCGTTATCTTCGATCCTTGCGAGTTCAAAGCCTTCGAGATTATCGAAAAAAATTCGGAGCGCGTCTGGATCGGCGCTGGATGAAGTCTCATTTAGTAGGAAAACGGGTAACTGCCGGGAGAGGTGTGTGTGTGCGTGTGTGTATTCGTGTGTGTCTCTGCTGTTCGTGTACATGTGTGTGTAGATGTGTACGTGCGTGTGCGCCGCGCGCGCGCGAAAGGGAGAGAAAGAGAGGGAGGGGGAGAGAGAGAGAGAGAGAAATGAAAGTTTCTTCTCTCGGAAAACCGATATTTTACATTACGTAGAATTAGTTAGTTAGATCAGTAACGACGAACCGTTTCACTCGTTATTCGTTAGCTCTCATGATTGAATCGAGTAACATTCGTACGCGCGCGCGTGTGCTGCTTTTGCATTCTTCGCGCAGATGGTCTGCGTTAAACTCCTCTTTTTGTGTCATTTTAATAAATTGTCGGTCGTTTTCTTTTTATCTTTCCCTTCTCTCTCTCTCTCTCTCTCTCTCTCTCTCTCTCTCTCTCTCTCTCTTTCTTTCTTTCTTTTTCTTCCGTTTTCTCCTCTTCGATTATCGGCGGTGTTTTCAGCGGACTCCGCTCTATGGAGCGCGCGTCGATTCCACGAGCTTGCTTGCTTGCTTTCGTCGACGCGCGCGCGACGCCGAGAAGAGACGAGGAAGGAGGGAGAGAGAGAGAGAGAGAGAGAGAGAGAAAAAGAGAGAGAAAATCGCCCCTTCGTCATATCCAGCACCGGTTCGGATAGCGTGCTCGCTGCTATCTATAACCACGAGTATCACTGCGTGCCAGCAACTTTTCTAACGAATTTTAGGACTCGTCACCGATCCCTTTCTAGCAGCTAAGCCACAGCAGCAGCCACGAGCACGAGTTTTCAGTTCCACGACGGTATCGAGGTTAATATTGTGATCGATACGAGTAACTACTTAAATAAAAGAATAGAAGAGAGAGAGAGAGAGAGAGAGGGAGTGAGAGAGAGAAAAAGAGAGAATTATACCATGGACCAAACACCAAACACCTTCCGTCACGTCTCTGTCCCGACGACGAGGGTGTACCAAGGCGCGCGCGCGCGCGAGACATGCGGCCGCGCGCGCCCTCAAAGTGCATATCCCGTTTCGAGCGAGGTGGACTCGTCGCGTCCTTCGCGAACGATATCTCGCCGCGGCGTGCATATCGGGCGGACCTTTGTAAATAATTTGCGCGTTCTCTTGGCTGCGTTTCGTTCGCCTGCAGAAACACGTCATATCTCGCGATACGGATACTCGCTGACGCTCACGAGCGCAGCAATAATAAGAGTGTCTCTCTTCGTCATCGTGCGTCCTACGTTTCGCGGTGACGGAACGATTTTTCACGATTATTAGTGGTTATACACGAAGGAACGAAAAAGGACGAGGTTGAGCTCTACGTTAACTCGCACTTGTTAGCTTACGGTCGCTTATTTAACCCGAGTCGCTCGATTGAGATCACGATTCGCGTTATAAGTTCGTCAGGGTGCAAATCTGAGTTGTTCTTTCGAACCGGGATTCGTTATTCCGCGTCAGTAATCGGTTGGTTCGGCGCGACACACTTCTCAGTCAACGAAGGAATGCGAGGTAAAAGGAGGGCACTTTACACATACGTATAAAAAAAAAGGAAGGAGAGAGAGAGAGAGAGAGAGAGAGAGAGAGAAAATTATATCTTTATTATGCAGATGCTCGTCGCATATTTTTTTATCGTCATAGAGCGTTTCACTCAATCCTGTGAACACACAATTTAGCACTACCGGTCGGAAAATCCCAGGTCAATATATATATACACATTCTATCTTTATGAGACGAGAGAAAAAGATTGCGCGAAAGAGAGAGAGAGAGAGAGAGAGAGAGTGTAAGACAGCGAGAGAGTGAAGGGAGAACAGGCGAAAACAGTGAGATAGGATAAAGTAAGGTATAGATTGTAATCGATGAACACTTTACTTTTGTCGTCGCACGGAAATGATTTCGAAATGACCTACTCGAACACACACACACGCACACGCGCGCGCGCACACGCACACACACACACAAACACACACCACACGCACGCACACGTACGCACACACACACACATCATAAAAGCAATCGGCTATAGTCAATTTTGTACGGATGTTATTTTCGGGAAACTATATAATAATATATCAAAGGTGAGTGGTTAGTCGCGTAGAAAATGTAATAATATACAATTTAAATAATTGTATGCGTCACACAGGATTAGTGGGCGGGTAACTCTCGTCCTGATTAATCCTCCCATGCCGCAACCTTTCCTTCCGCGAGGAGGAAAAGCAAAGAGAGGGCAACGAAATGAAAGCGCGAAGAGCCCGTGTTTTCGCGATCACGGCCAGCTTTGTAATTTTTATTATTACCTCGCGCAAATGATGTAAAATTCATAATAATGTTGTTGTACAATTTTATCTCGTATATATACCGATTCTTCAGAAATGATTCGGATCCCTTTATCGTCGCGCGATCAAATTCTAACCACAATTTGAATTAAACGGCTGGATTTCCTTTTGCTTGAAACACTTCGGCGATGTGTTTGGAAGTCCAAGCGCGTCACGCGTGGGAGGATTAACGACGCCTTTTCTAGTAATTCGATGT